AGGAAAGGTGATAAGATGGCAATGAGATCCTTACATTATACAGTATACAAAGCTTATTATCAAGTGAAAAAATGATTCTTGCATGTGCCTTGATCATTTGAAAGAACAACAGCAAACCCTGGTGCAAGGTCAACAATTCTGATCCTTGAGTATTAAACACAATATTTTTTATACAACCACTACTTACTAAATTCATTGTAGTTGTTGTTAAACCCAAGGCTCTGTGAGGATCCCAGGACAGCCCTTGAGGACCAGAGATTAGCAACTCTTTTATTTATGGATAGTTTTTCCTCTATCGCAATATATTATAGAATATTATATTGTAAATATAATTATTCATCTTAGATACATAGAGCTCAATTAACTTAATCTACTGCATTGAGCTCTGATGTCTCTTGTATGATAATGACAATCTTTAGAATAAACTGAACTCCCAGTGGTCCATCAGTAGACACACCTTTGATTCACCAATAGATAATCACTAAAAACCATAACTGTAATATCTCTTGTTTTCAGATTCACCTGTTTATGGTTGTGGTGAAGCTAATTAAAAGAAGATTCCAACTTCTGATATGTTCAAATCATAAGTCAGGGCCCTCTGGTTCCTCTTGTACCAAATTGTATTATAACTGTAATGTCTACTCTCATTTCATAAAGCACTGCGGAATCTGTTGGTGCTATATAAATCCTGTATAATAATAATACTAAGTCACGTAAAATGTTTGGTTTGGCAGCTTAGACAGACCTCAGTGCTACCCATGGCCATAGAAATCATTCACATTTATAAATTGTTAGAAATATATTTTCAGGTGAGTTTACAACAGCATGATTAATATGAGATAAAATTATGACCTAATAAACACGTTGCTTGCAGGTTTAAAAAGCTGTCAGTTTGCTTTTCTTGTTGGCAGAGAGAATGTGATATTTTTGTAAGAATAAGTGTGACATTACTAATTATAAAAGGTATGATTAAACAGGACAGCAATGGTGCACAACAGGTGATAATTAAGTGTAATTCTCACAACTAGGCTTTTAATCCAGCTAAAAGAATATATTATCTTACAACTTGCTATGTGCAATTATTCCTTTACTAAGGTATAAACTGTTATAAAATAAGTTGTAAAAGAATACTTCTGGAAATATTAAATAAGTATCCCACCATATAGTATACTGTATATGCCATACCTCTGAGGATGCCCAGTGGGAGGGACGAAACGCGTCTGCTGCGGACCATGGTGACGTATATTTGGAATGCACGATGGTGCGTTGCTTCCTAGTCCGGTGTTTTATGTCTCTTTTTCTCTGGAACTATGTGAGTGGAATATTTATATTTTTGTAACCTTAATAAACAGTATTACACTATCTGGATGCCTTCCTCCATTCTTTATATACGCAAACATCATACTCCATTGACATACCGGGATGACTGAGGGTGACATGCAAAGCCGATCCTAGGAAGATTACAAGCAGAACCAGATATTGCCCCACCAAAGCGAGATGGAGTCCACAGTAGCTGGTTAGTGAGTGGGACCAATGGTGGGGAGCACAGATCATGAATCACAAAGTTTATATGGAAGCAGCACGTGCACTATTTCAGCAATAAGTTTGACACCAAGGACTTTATTGAATGTATTATATATATTATATATATAATATATGTTGATTTATTTTTTGATTTGGTCTGTATGTCTCACTTGGCAGCACTCCTAAATGTATGTTGTATAGTTGATGAGGGTAATACCCTTTATAGGAGTGGCAGCCTTTGTAATTTAATTATCAGGTTATATTCTCCTAGATTGTAAACTCGAAAGAGCAGGGCCCTCGATCCCCTCATGTTTTGCATTGTATTGTTGTTGTTCTGTCACATGTTCTGTCCCCCTTTGTAATGTACAGCGCTGAGTGAACTATTGGCGCTTTATAAATACTGTATAATAATAATAATATCACACAGGATATACACACTTGTTTTTTTTTGTTTTCACAGATTATTTGTCATTTAGTATTATTGTCCTGAGCGCAGTTTAAAAATAATCTAGTTACTTGTATGACAATGATAATCTACAAAATATACTGAACTCCCAATGGTCCATCAGTAGACACACATCTGGTTCACCAATAGTTAATGTCTAATAACTCCAGCTAAAATATCTATTTTCACATTCACCTGTTAATGGTTGTGGTGAAGCTGATTAGAAGAAGGTTCTGACTTCTGATACATTCCAACTTCTGACTGGTTCCAGAATAAACTGCACTCCTGTGATCCATGGGAGAAGTTGAGCCAAACAAGCTTTGTCTATACTTCTTGTTTACGTTTTAGAGGTCAAGGACATTTGGGGAGCACTTCGCCTTTTTCCTGTTTTCAATACCAACCTAAGGTTCCAGCTGGAGTTGATCACAGTGGGTAGCTCGCTCTATAGCTCATCCATTCTGAAAACCTTTTGCATTCTTTTTAAATAATTCAAGGAATTTTGTGATTGGAGGTGGTATGGAGCATCATTACAACTTCCCACCTTCCAATTAAAGAGCACATTGTTATACCATATACTTTATGCAATTTTGTTTGAGACCACAATGCCCATGCAATAGTTTTCTAATATACTAATAAAGCTGTAGAATATTGGTTCCTGAAACATGAAGGAACCTGTACCTTTATAAAACAACTTTCAAGATGTTCTATATTATAACTGTGAGAAATAAAACTATAGATACATCAAGGTAACCTGATTACATAAATACATTTCTGACAAGCACAGGAGATGTAAAACTGACAAATTGTTCTTTCAACATAGAGCTCTTTCAGTGGATCACTTATCTTTGGTACTATATATTCAGCATAGGCTATTCTAATTAGACATATTGTTCTGTCACTTTGAGATCAATATTTCTTACTGTATTTTCACTAGAGTACAAATGAAAAGCCTTATTCTCTGGAACAATGTAACTAAATACAGCAGAGCCCCTTGATAAAGCTATTTCTACATGCTCTGGTGGTCACACTGCACCACTTAGCAGATTATCGACTGAAATATCAACATGGATAGTGCACTCAACAATAACATAAAAATGAGCAATACAAGAAGGTCATTCTGGTAGCACGGGAAATACTGGTCAGGGTAAATTAGATGCTCTTTACCTTGAAGAACTATCATCAATTATTCTATAGAAATAAGCAAACAATATTGTGCCAGGTACAAAACCTGCACACAAAATTATACCATCAAACAGGTATCGCTATAATGTTTGCAGTAGAACTATTACTATTATTATTATTATACAAGATTTATATGGCTCCAACAGTTTGCTCAGCGCTTTACAATATAAAACTAGAATAGAGGGAGCTTTTCCTTGCAATCTCTTACCTCCCAACTTTCTGAGATGAAAAAGAGGGACACCTTCAAGCACAATGTATTTAGGAAATGGAAACACCTTTGCCACATTATAGGACAAACCCAGAATTTTTTTTAATTTTCTAACAATCATTTTTTTTCTTCTGGCTTTCAACAGAACTGAATAGCAGTATAGTAGAATGAGGTAATTAAAGCAAACTTAACTGGTTCACTTCCACTTTTCCCTAAATTAAAGTTTTTCTTAGGGGGGGGGGAGCGAACACTGATTTTTATTGGAACCCACTCCCACTTCTACAATCCTCGACTAGGCAAGAATGGTGCAGGGGTGGACTGACCATTTGGAAACTCGGGCACTGCCTGAGGGCCCAGGGTCAGTAGGGGGCCCCATGAGATGCCCCTGGTACCTTTTTCATGGGCTTTTTTGAGTTTGGGCAAGGACACAGGGGCCCCATGAACCCCTATTGCCCGGGGGCCCCATGAGTTGTCAGTCTGCCCCTGGAATGGTGTCTCTGGACCTGTTTTCCTCCCCTCCTGCAGTCTCCTCTCACATGTCATATGTCCCAGGAGGCTACAGGATTCATACATTTGCAGTGGGAAGCTGGCTGAGGTTCCCCCGGAGGCCATAGCTGGCTCCCATATCCAAAACAGCAGTGCCAGTGACCAGCAGCAGTAAGAAGAACCAGCTGCAAAAAGACAGAGCTGGACCCCAAGCATTGGTCAGCAACTACAGTAAAAATCAAGCAGAAGTTCTTCTATTTTTGTAGTTAAATAGAATATTTTCATAGATATCTGTACCTTAGACTAAAAAAAGGGCCGACTAAAGTGCACAAAGGAACAGAGGGGTTTTGAAGGATATTTGGGAAGCATGCAGTCCCTCATACTTGATATACATAATTATGTTTTGATTTGCCCTACAAGATGGTACATAGGTATGTCAACTGCTGACAGCAAACAGGAAGTTCACTGAAGAATTTAGGACAAAAGGTACATTTTTCAGGGTACTGCTTAAACACAAATTACACAAAGTTACAAGAAGATGCTCTTTGCAGTGCCCCCCCCCCTTCATATTGCAAGGGTTAAACTCTTGTTAATGCTAGGGGATGAAGAATAAGATGTAATATTTATCTTACTCTTCACTCCATCACTCTCCTTTGCTTCGGGTTGTGGGTGGTCCCTTGCCTGCCTCACTTACAATGCAGGGCTGTTGGTCCTGGTTTGTGCTTGATGATGTCAATGATGACAACTGCAGGCCCACAGAGTCTAGTCTACAAGGGTAGTTTGTTGGAATTGCTGGGCGTTAAGGGTTCTGTTTCAGTGTATTAATGCTGCTAATGTGTGTTGCGTTAAGGCATCTGGTTATTTAACCACTTGCCTACAGAGCACTTATACCCCCTTCCTGCCCAGGCCAATTTTCAGCTTTCAGCGCTGTCACAATTTGAATGACAATTGCGCGGTCCTGCAACACTGTACCCATATGAAATTTTTATCATTTTTTTGAGACAGATAGAGCTTTCTTTTGGTGGTATTTAATCACCTCTGGGTTTTTTATTTTTTGCTAAACAAACCAAAAACAAATGAAAATTTGAAAAAAAAAAGTTTTTTCTTAGTTTGTGTTATAAAAATATGTAAATAAGTGATTTTTCTCCTTCACTGATGTGTGCTAATGAGGCTGCAGTAATGGGCACTGATAGGCTGCACTGATGGGCACTTATAGGTGGCACTGATGGGCACTGGTAGGTGGCACTGATGGGCATTGACAGGCATCACTGATGGGCACTGAAAGGCAGCACTCATATATGGCACTGATAGGTGGCACTGATAAGTGGCACTGATAGGTGGCATTGGCTGGCAGTGATAGGCGGCACTGATAGGCACAGTTAGGTGGCACTGACTGGCACTGTTAGGCGACACTGATAGGCAGCACTGACGGGCACTGATAGGCGGCACTGATGCGCATTGATAGGTGGCACTGACTGGCACTGATAGGTGGCACTGACTGGCACCGATAGGTGGCACTGATTGGCAGGACTGATAGGTGGCATTGACTGGCGATGATATGTGGCACTGACTGGCACTGATAGGTGACACTGAAAGGCAGCTCAGATGGGAAATGATATGTGGCATTGATGTGCACTTAGGTGGCATTGACTGGCATTGATATGTGGCACTGACAGGTGGCACTGCTGGGCCTACACTGATCATCAGGGCACACTGATCCACAGTGCCCTGATGATCAGTGTACATGTCCCCTCTGAGGAATGCCGATTACTGGCTCTCCACTCCTCACGAGCTGTCAGCGTGACAACTTGTGAGGTGAGAAATGCCGATAACCGGCATTTTCCTATTTACATGCGATCAGCTGTGATTGGACACAGCTGATCACATGACCGAGCCGACATCTTCGGCTATTTCCATTGATCGGTGATCCGCTGTGTCCAATCATATGATGTCTTCCCAGAATGAGAGAACTGCCTTGCGCCCGTCATTACCTTATATGGCAGGCGGGAGGCGGTTTAGAAAGGACTGCTAACATACCACAACAGATGAAAGCAGCACATTAAAACACACTATATATGCATTGTGGTGCACTGGGCTCTACTGTACATTGCATTGGGGTGCCATTCACAATGAAGCAGAGCAGGTGCATTGCCATGTGTTGCAGAAATACACGATAAGGAACACATTTGGAACACTGCAATACACAAGTGTGAATGGGTCCTGAAATTGTGGGCTATGTGTACCTGTGTTGTTTCATACAGATCAACACCCCAATCCTATCTTTTACCTGGTGAAAGTGTAAAAGCTACAATGTCCCTACAGTCCCAGGGACTAGTCAGTGTGGGAAGGGAGACTGAGAAAATGCTTCCTCCTGCCTGTTGCAGACTGATGACATTATTCTTCTCTCAGCCTAGGCACAATTCTGGAGCTAGGGAGTGCTTTTTAATTTACAAAAGCAACAACTTCGAAAAATATTATTGTTTTGGTATTAGTGAAATATTTGTAATTCATTTTGCAGACCTGTAATGCTATAGATAGACTTTTGCTTTATACAGCTGGAGTACCCAAACAATTATTTACTCTGCATTGTATTAGAGGGAATCCTCTTGTAAACACAACACCACGGTTGTGGCAATTGTGTAAAACTATGAATTCTGTTGGGAATATTTTGTCACTGGAATTATGGAGATCTATAATGAACCAGCTTGTAATTTAGCTCCCTAGGAGGCATGCAAAATATAAAGAACAATCACTATAAATGTTATTAGTATAGATTATTACATATAATATAATATAATATCAAAATAATATTATTATTTTTCTTACAAGATACAAGACCATATTTTCCTTCTTTTGGTTACTAACCTGTATGTGTACATTTATATTAGAAGAACAAGTCATAAAGCACTATGTTTAGTAATTGTGGCTTTTAATGATGCTGAACCAAATTTTGTGTAGGCAGTCATGCTTGTAGTTTAGAACTTTAAACTCATCATATATCATAATAAATGTCAGTGTGTAGGAAAGCTACAGAAGATTTTGTTTTAACTTTCCCAGTGATTGTGGAAATAAAGTATGACTGTGTTATTCAGAGAAATGTTATAGAATATGCTAATAAGATTTTTCAGTTGGATTCAGATGTAAAATATGGGAAAATATAATACATTTTAAACCAGTACAGGATGGAAAAAAAGGAACGGATTAAATTTTTTTTTATACTAGTTTCCTTTTAGAACAAAAAAAATGACATAAATAATGAATCTCTCATACACTGTATACATTTAGTTAGATGATCATTTTATGTGCCTTGAGGCTCAGGCATAAAGTAGTTTGGATTAAATATGGATGGACATTTTCAATACCAAAGTATGAAATAGGCAAGCAAAATACTGATACATGCCTACATATTTTAGCTACAGTTCATATCATAATGCTATAATATCATAGGTTTAATTTGTATGTCCTTGTATAAGCATTTTTTAAAATACCACATGTGGCAAAGTAGATTACTTTTTAATATACATACTGTACATGTTTACTGTTTTTCTGTATATTGCTTCTCAATTTGTATGTATTCATAGATGATTATGATTTTTGCATATCTTTTGGCTATAGTTGGGGGTTTTTAATTTTACCATGGTGTTTTAAGAATTGGTGAATTTAAAAAGTTTGTCTGCTATATTTCAATGGTAACAGCAGCCTCATCTTTCCTTTCTTCATTCTTTATATTTCATGTATTATGAGTAGAATGTTTTAGTGTTTTGTGGAGCATTTATTTGACTTTTTTTTAGTCGGGTTACATTTTGGAAATACTAGATGCCCGACTGTGATGCTGATTGTTCAGCTTCATTGCTTGGTGTAACACAAACCCAGAACCCAGAAGTATGAACCCGGTAAAGACATCACTCCAGACCAGGGGCGGACTGATAACTCATGGGGCCCCCGGGCAATAGGGGATCATGGGGCCCCTGTGTCCTTCCCAAACTCAAAAAAGCCTATAAAAAAAAGGTACCAAGGGCGCATCTCATGGGGCCCCCACTGACCCCGGGCCCTCGGGCAGTGCCCGAGTTTCCAAATGGTCAGTCCGCCCCTGCTCCAAACCTGCATATTAGTTCTGGTTGGTGACACTAGAGAGGCCAGAGGTTCAACATCACAGTATAAACAACCATTGTTTTTGAGATAGTAGGTTCTCGTTAAAGTTTATGTTCAATTTATTTCCTAAAGCTGTCCTTCCTTGCTACTGTTAGTACATCTTGTTTTATTTGTTCACTTTTTTGTATACTGTAACATTTATTTATCCCATTTTTTTTTTTCAATCTAATCCCTGTAGAGCTCTCCTAAATTTCTTTTCTGCACAAACCTCATAAAAAACAAATAAAGCATAATGATTGAACCATTTAAAATGTAGAGCCCAAGTGAAAACAGTCATGCTTCTGGAATAATAGATACTGGAGAGGAAGCACATCTGTGACAATTCAAAGTGCTTAGCCCTGATCAAATAGTGTCAAGGACCTGACTGAACTTTGAAGATGTTCCAGGCATCCCAGAAGATTTTCTTAACCTTCAATCTTGGTCTTTAATTCTCTGCATAAAATAAATATATACACACTGATGTTTTCTGTAGAGATCATGGTTTGCATACTGGGAAGCTAACATAATATATAAAAAAGTGACCTTTTTCACCAGTGTTATATTTTTTAGCAATAATTTGACTACTTTCTTAAAGAAACATAGAAATTAAGAAAAATATGCTGCAGGTATAGTATATTTTTGCAAATTCCAGCAGCAAACTGTAAAATCATTGTGACAAGCAAATCTCAGACACTTCCAGGTAAATTCGGAGCTTTCGGCATCACCCCTAATTCCTACTAGCACATCACTATGATGGACAGCCTCACTGGACAACCTCATTGACCAATAGGAATGCTGAAGAAGTGATGAGGAGGATGCATCTTGTCCCGGAACCCCCACCACCACCATAACCACCACTGATAACATTGTTCAACAGGTAAAAAGTTTTGGGGGCATAAAATTAGCTAATCTTACATAATTTTGGGGTGCTGAACACGAAAATGACCCTAAAAAATGTTGATTGGCTCTAGTTTCCATGATATATTCACCCATCTAATGACGTAAGCCATTCAAAATGATGATGCAACTTCAGCTGCATATTGCGCAATTGATACTGGTGACCAATAGAAAATTGCATGTATACTGAGATGATGCAATATTAGCATTTAATTGCATCACTTCACTGCATAAAAGCTGCAGTATCTGTAGCTGATTGTAGTTCGACAGCGTCTTTACATTTCGTTTTATGCTTATATAGGCTACTCAGTAATGCCTCGAACTTGTGTGAATAAAGCAGATAATTTCTGCTATATTTGCGGTGAAATAACTTTTATCTCACAAAAAAGGAGGATAACAGGAATGATTAAGAAAGCCTACAACTTGTATTTTGGCTGCAAGATAGGAGACCAGGACAAGAGCTGGGCACCACATATATGCTGCAATTCTTGTGGAACGGCACTGGAGCAATGGTTGAATGGAAAAAAGGCATCTATGCCTTTCGCTGTGCCAATGATTTGGAGAGAGCCAACAGATCATGTTAGTAATTGTTACTTTTGTATGGTGCCTCCAATTGTAAAAGGGCTAAATAAGAAGAAAAAGTTATCTGTGCACTATCCAAATATTGCATCGGCAATACGTCCAGTTCCTCATGGAGAGCGGCTACCAATCCTAAAGCACCAGAATCCTTCGTGGTTGAGTCAAGTGAGGAAGAACCTGAAGCGTTTAGTCACGTGCAGTTGTAAGAGATAGCCCTTTCCTCGAATACAAGAGAAAAGCCAAGAGAAGCAAAACCGACACAAACTGAAGACAAAACTAGTGAGAATCCTAAGTATTAAAATGATTCAACTTAGCTTATGGCTATAATTTTTCTTGGTAATCCTATGCAATATATTATGCCATTTAGGCTTTGTTATGTAGTCAATATCACTTGCTTTATATTTGTGGAAAGACATCTATCTATATAATTATTGTGCATTATGTAGTCATTACGCCTATAGTAGAAAACTTTCCGTTTACAGAAAAACTAGAGCCAATTGACAAATTTCATTGTTATATTTGAACTCAGAATGTGAAATTCATTAAGAAATGGATCCTTTTGTTTCCAAAACTGGCAAAAAATAAAAATTTGTTGAACAGTGATCAATATCGATCCTCAGTTGTATCCCTCAAAACCACCAATATACACAAAATTCAAGGGGGTTAAAGCACAGAGAGGGCTTTTAATCACTGACCTGTACTTTACAATAAAAATGGAGATATGCAGTATCTGTGTTCAGGTCCTAAATGGCTTCCATATATATATATTAAAGGAAATACTGCAGAGACATAATCACATCATAGTCCTTCCATATCATAGCAAACGTCTGCTTAAAAACAGGGATTGTGCGTTCACATACAGTATATTTCAATAAGTGTTCAAATAGATATATATTACATGCTCTCTGCATTGTGCTTTCTGTCTATAATATATATACTATATATTAATATTATACAGTATTTATAAAGCTCCCAACGGTTCGATCAGCGCTGTACATTACAAAGGGAGACAGAACATGCGACAGTACAATAACAATACAATGCGATACACGAGGGATTCGAGGGCCCTGCTCCTTCGAGCTTACAATCTATATATATATATACACACACTGCTCAAAAAAATTAAAGCCACACATTTTAATCAGAGTATAGCATCAAGTCAATTAAACTCCTGGGATATTGATCTGGTAACCTAAGTAGCAGAGGGGGCTGTTAATCAGTTTTATCTGCTTTGGTGTTAATAAAATTAACAACAAGTGCACTAGATGGGAGCATTGAGATGACCCCCAAAACAGGAATGGTTTTACAAGTGGAGGCCACTGACATTTGTTTCCCTACTCATCTTTTCTGACTGTTTTTCACTACTTTTGCATTTGGCTAGGGTCAGTGTCACTACTGGTAGCATGAAGCGATACCTGGACCCTACAGATGTTGCACAGGAACTCCTCCAGGATGGCACATCAATATGTGCCATTGCCAGAAGGTTTGCTGTGTCTCCCAGCACAGTCTAAAGAGCATGGAGGAGATTCCAGGAGACAGACAGCTACTCTAGGAGAGCTGAACGGGGCTGTAGAAGACCTTAACCCATCAAGAGGACTGGTATCTGCTCTTTTGTGCAAGGAGGAACAGGATAAGCTCTGCCGGAGCCCTAAGGAATTACCTTCAGCAGGCCACTGGTATGAATGTCTCTGAGCAAACAATCAGAAACAGACTTCATGAGGGTGGCCTGAGGGCCTGAAGTCCTCTAGTGGGCCCTGTGCTCACTGCCCGGCACTATAGAGCTTGCTTGGCATTTGCCATTGAACACCAGAATTGGTAGGGTCCACCACTGGCGCCCTGTGCTTTTCGCAGATGAGAGCAGGTTCACTCTGAGCACATGTGACAGATGTGAAAGGGTCTGGAGAAGCCGTGGAGAATGTTCTGCTGCCTGTAACATCATTCAGCATGACCGTTTTGGTGGTGGGTCAGTGATGGTCTGGGGAGGCATATCCATGGAGGACGCACAGACCTCTACAAGCTAGACTGCCATTAGGTATCGGGATGAAGTCCTGACCCATTGCCAAACCTTGTGCTGGTGCAGTGGATCCTGGGTTCCCCCTGGTGCATGACAATGCCCGGCCTCATGTAGAGAGCGTATGCAGGCATTTTCTGAAGAATGAAATAATTGGCATTGAATTGCCCCTACGCTCACCTGGCCTAAATCCAATAGAACACCTCTGGGATATCATGTTTCGGTCCATCCACCAGGTTGCACCTAGACTGTCCAGGAGCTCAGTGATGCCATGGTCTAGTTCTAGGAGGAAATACCCCAAGACACAATCCGTCGTCTCATTAGGAGAATGCCCGGATGTTGTCAGGCATGCATACAAGCACATGGGGGCCATACAAACTACCATTTTGACTTGCTGCAATGAACTTTCTGCAAAATGGACTAGCTTGCTGTATCATTTTTTCACTTTGATTTTGGGGTGTCTTTGAATTCAGTCCTCTGTAGGTTGATAATTTTCATTTCCATCAAACAATGGGGCATCCTTACATTCCTTACACATCACCCAGTCCATATCAGTGTAGATATCCAGCATGATACTTTTCCCCATTGAGATCTGATGTGTTATCAAAGTGTTCCTGTAATTTTTTTGAGCAGTGTATATATATATATACATTTGTGAAACAATGGGTCACTCTCAGGAGCTCAGTGAATTCAAGTGTGGTACTGTGATAGGTTGCCACCTGTGCAAGTCCATCCATGAAATTTCCTTGCTACTAAATATTCCATGGTCAACTGTTAGTGGTATTATAACAAAGTGGAAGCAACTGGGAACAGCAGCAACTCAGCCACGAAGTGGGAGGCCATGTAAAATGACAGAGCGAGCTCAGTGCATGCTGAAGCACACAGTGCGCAGAAGTCGCCAATTGTCTGCATAATCAATAGCTAAAGACCACCAAACTTTGTGTGACCTTAGCACAAGAACAGTGCATAGAGATCTTCATGGAATGGGTTTCCATGGCCGAGCAGCTGCATCCAAGCCTTATATCACCAAGTGCATTACAAAGCGGCGGATGCAGTGGTTTAAAGCACGCCACCACAGGACTCTAAAGCAGTGGAGACATGTTCTCTGTAGTGATGAATCACACTTCTCTGTCTGGCAATCCGATGGACGTGTCTGAGTTTGGCGGTTGCCAGGAGAGCGGTACTTGCCTGACTGCATTGTGTCAAGTGTAAAGTTTGGTGGAGAGGATATTATGGTGTGGGGTCGTTTTTCAGAGGTTGGGCTTGGCCCCTTAGTTCCAGTGAAGGGAACTTTGAAGGCATCAGCATACCATTTTGAACAATTTTATGCTCCCAACTTTGAGGGAACAGTTTTGGGATGGCCCCTTCCTGTTCCAACATGACTGCTCACCAGTGCACAAAGCAAAATCCAAAAATACCTGGAGGAGAGAGTTTGGGGCGGAGGAACTTGACTGGCCTGCACAGAGTCCTGACTTCAACTCGAGAGAACGCCTTTGGGATGAATTAGAGCAGAGACTGCGAGCCAGGCCTTCTCGTCCAACATCAGTGCCTGACCTCACAAAGGCGCTTCTGGAAGAATGGCCAAACATTCCCAATTCCAACATTCAACACACTCCTAAACCTTGTGGACAGCCTTCCCAGAAGAATTGAAGCTGTTATAGCTGGGTGGGCCAACTCAACATTGAAACCCATAGACTAAGGGATGTCATTAAAGTTCATGCGTGTGTAAAGGCAGGCGTCCCAATACTTTTGGCAATATAGTGAATATATACACACACACACACACACACTGTATATACTGTATATTGTAGATTCTATTCTGAACTGAACATACGTCAGTGTTATATATCTAATTATAATCAATATCTAATGATATTATGACATAATCACAATTATTTGCAATAACTAAAATGTAAAGCCTAGGTCTGCAATGACAAGGTAAAATGCTACATATTGTAGAAGCCAGCTTTTTTATACTAATTCTTAAAGAAGAAAGAAAAGCTGTTTTTTCAATCATTACTGCTCACATTGTAAAGTGTTAGTCACAGCTTTATAATAGTATTGTAAAACCAGAGATTTAATTAATTTTATTGAGCAATGAATATGCTGTGTTATATCACTCATCCCACCTTGTCAATTATTCGACCCACTGAATCAGTTTTACAAGGTTGTTAAATTATTGTAATAACATACCTACTCATTTCTATAATGTGCTTCCTTTATCCTCCATCAGTTGCACCACATCACATAGGTGACCACATCACATAGGTGAATCTGCTGTGCAGGGGCTGCACATGTAGTTGTCACACTAGAGGATGCAAAAATGGCAGACTTAAGCTAAGTTTCCTTCTTAAGTAAGGAGACCCTGTCATCAACTTAAAAAAATCAGGTAAAAGCACAGAAACGTTTAAATGGGCCTTCATACTCTCGATCAACATTTATATAGGAAAGTATATCATATTTACTTGTTTTAGCCTTTTTTTTTACATTTCTTCAGTTACTTCCTGGTTTCCAGACCTAGGAAAATGATTTCATACATCTCAGGAGTCTTCAGAAGGGGAGGAGGGGTTTTTCTTAGCTAAGCCCACCCTCCAAGAATGCATGCCTGAGCTAAGAGCAGATGGATTCCAGGAGGTAATGGCTACATGGATCTGAATTTGATATGGATAGTCTAAAGTTAAGCCCCGCCTGACATATTTTGCCATCAAACAGTGTCATCAGGGAAACAGAAGCAAATACCTGTGACGTCTAATGCAGTTTATGCATTTAGGCTCCCACGCTGCCACCATTGCACATCAATAAAAAGTTACATCGGGGCTTAACTTGTGACATCAGCGTGCTCACTGTGTGGCCAATGGGGAGGCATCAGTACATGTTGTGACATGCTGTATTTTCTTTTACCTCTGTGAATACCTGGCTATTGTTTTAAATAAACCGTTTGGCAGTTTTACAGTATGTATAGCCTCTGTTCTTCTCCATTAGTGTGGATGTGGCCTGATCTGGCATGCTGATCCTTGGAATCACTGAAACTGGAAGTTGGTGTCCTGCTATTGCCATCAATGAATGTCTGGAGGTCTGTGAATTACATGCCTGGCTGATCCCTGTGGTGGGGATCTTTCATATTTGGTAAGAGACCAACCTTATTTGAGGTGAAGGGCATGAGTGTCTTGGTCGTCTCTTCAAGATACATTCACAGTCAGTCAGTGGATAGTTGAATGTTTTCACTTGTTCCTATTTTTTTTAGAAGATTTGCACATCAATGATGTTTTCACTTGATGTTTGTGGACTTTTATTTGATGTGCACTCATTGTATGTGTATACATAAAATACATTAACTGCACAAATAATCTTAGAGGAAAGTTGTTGTTGAAATGAATGGTCAAGGGACAGGGTCTCTTTAAAGCAGAAACTGCACAAGCTTCTCCCTTCTAGTGCATGGTTAGAAGTGAGGCCTGGGTAACCAGCATCTAAGGTAGAGCAGGATAGAGCAGGGTCATTACTTTATTTATTTGTTTATTTACTTACATGTTGCAAGGTAGGCAACTGACCCTTGGCACTAAGTTACAACCTTCTGTTGCTCAATATTGAGAGGTCCAGTTCTGTTCCAAGATATATGACTTTGGGAGAATCATAGGAATTTGATATGAACATATAGGTCCAGCCAGTTAGTAACCCTTCCTCCGCAGCTTAGTTGAAAAGCACATTTTTTAACTCTCGCTGAAACTACTGCCATTCATAATGACTTTGTGAAAAGCAACCTTGTTGATGGAACCTCTCTGTCAGCTCCCATCTCCTTATAACATCTGATATCAGAGAGAAGCAATGATGTCTTAGTGACACCAGGGTACCAAAGACAGGGAATCCATACTGCTGAGTTGGTGCATCACAATAAGCAATATGATCTGCAACACTGCTGGAGTCTGATCTGCATCTGCTGGCTATCAGATAAATGACTCCACAAACAGAGAAACAGGATCCTTTTCTGTACAAAGGGTTTGTTCTGATAACTGCAAGGAAGTCTCACTATTTCTCTGTTACTGTTTTGTGGAGTAGGCTAGAAAATGTCCCTTTGCTGCTTTATATTTGATAAGGCTCTAAAGAACCTTGTTATACAGCATATCAAGTAAAAGTCAGTAGTGTGCAATACAAATTGCATTTTATGAGTTCTTCTTCACCCTGAATAGAAAGGAGTGTCCCGGGGCGGACTGACAACTCATGGGGCCCCTGGGCAATAGGGGATCATGGGGCCCCTGTGTCCTCGCCCACACCCAAAAAAGCCTATGAAAAAGCCAATAAAAGGTACCAGGGGCATTTCATGGGGCCCCCTACTGACCCTGGGCCCCCGGGCAGTGCCCGAGTGCTTGAATGGTCAGTCCGTCCCTGGGGTGTCCTGACCCTTCTACATAAAACAAACCGAAGCTTTGCCAATGTAGAATCAGCAGCTTATCTGTACGTCACTTTGCACCCTAGCTGCTCCATTTAGCCCTCAAGATTTGCCCTTTTTAGTTCCAGCCACTCCATTTAGTCCCCACGACCAAGAAAAGGTAGACCTGTGTATGTGATTGCACTGGGCCTTTCACAACTTGCAAGCGCCGTCATATGAGATAAAGGGGAGCAAGTCATATGCTCTTTTATTCCAGGAAGTATTGGGTATAGAGGCTTTGAACAGGAGGGAAAGCAACATGTTCCCTTTATTGCCCCTCCAACAGTACTTTTTTTCTTCATTGCCCCGCTGCTGCATTCAGCCTCCAGGAGTAAAGAAAATATCTAAATAGTGTGGCAGGGAAGTGAAATAAGGTGCGTACTGTATGTACTGCTGGAAGGGGGGGGGGGCATTAAAATGGAACTTTGCTAGCAGGAAGGTTCTTTTATTGCAGAAGAGACATGCTATGTGGTTGACTAAAGGCAAATAAGCTGTTCACTTTTCAAGGAAAGGTTCCTTTTGCAAGGGAATTTTCCTTTAGCTTAGTGAATGCAGTGAAAATTCACTTTGTAAAGAATACCGAATAATGTGCAAGGAAAATAAAAACAACAATATTCTTGCATGATCATGATTGGATGATGGAAGTCAGCAGAAAATTACATTGCAAGGAAAACAGCCTATTTGCATTTAGCAAATCAAACCGAATGTCTCTACTACAATACAAGCCTCTTATCTTCTTTAGAATGTAAATGTGCAGCTGAATGCACATTCTCAACATGAGAATTAATTCCCATGTGCATGTGCAGGATGACCAAAGATGCCTAACCCAAAACAGAAGAAGTTGTTGGTGCTGTTACGAGAGATTGTGGGCATTGCATTGTTGAAGGGGAAGTGAGTATAGCGGACTTTATTTCAGCTTCTTTAAGATGAACCTGTTGCTTTTCTTGGCATGGGTAAAGTACTGGTTTGCCTTAAAGAGTTAGTTCACTTTTACGGAAAAAATGTAACTAACACAGGACACCCTCTCTACCCTCCCAGTCCCCACTGTACTCACCCTTTTGGGTTGCTGAGCTGTCAACACCCCCACAGCTAGTCCAGTGGTCAAGGAATTGAAATTCTCCCTCTTCTTCATGCAGAGCATCTGAGAAGGACAAGAATGATTCACTGTGACAGAGCTCACCAATTAGAATTGTTCTTGTTTGTCCAAGAAGTGCTGCATGGAGAAGAGGGAGAAGAGTGGGGACTTCAAATCCCTGGACTGCTGGACCAGCTGTGGGGGTGTTGACAGCTCAGCATCTCTAGAGGTAAGTACAGTGGGGACCGAGAAGGGTGGGGAGGGTGTCTAGTGTTAGTTCATTTTTACAATTTTTTCTGTGAAGGTGAACTAACACTATACAAAAGTTCAATAAAAAGACGGTGATTATGGTCTAAAGCAGTTTGGAGTTGGGGGAGGATTTAGCAGGACAAAAGTGCCCAACTAAAAACAAATCAGAGAGCTCAGCTAGAAATATGTTTAAAATATATATTTTGATAAATATTAATATGCATAATAATGTTAAAGTGGTAAATTTCCAGCTTTGGGTGCCCCCTTCCCTCGAAGGATGGTACACTGTGCAACATAGCAAAAGCTGTCTATACTTGTGTCTGCAGTGGTATCACAATGGCAGATGCAATCACATCAACTAGACAGAGCACTCTGTGCTAAGTAGCAGAAACTGAAGAGAATATTCAGGCATAACACAGTCTGATGGGAGAATACTGTATCTATTCAACAATGAGTGATGCAGAATGGTTTATTCAACTTAACTCTCAATGATGTACAGTCACTTACAGTAACAGTCATTTATTAATTTAGGTTTCACAAAAGTAGACAATGGCTGCCTTTTGCCATCTGTGTGTTACATACTCCATTTTTCACATTGCTTTTTGCCTCATAAAATAGGCCAGCTTGAAGGAAATGTTACACAGTAAAGATAGAGATTTTCATTCCACATTTCCAGAAATCACACCTGAAAATATTCTTTGGACAACAATAGAGAAAAATGTACACAACCTCTACACAAAAACTGTAATGTCCTTTTAGTCATCCTGTGAACATAACAATTTCTTGTCTGACTTCCAAATGCAAATTGCATTTCTTCGTGATTATAGTATATTTCCAAATTATCCCCTCTACTTCATAGCCTCCAGTCAAAATAAAATAGCTCCTGTCAAATTATCTGTCTCAGAAACTGCATGATAAATGATGACTTTCTTTGTTCTCTTTCAGTGGACACTTGAAGCATTATTATCTTCTGTACCCCAGGGGCACATGGTATTAAAGCTGCTGCATGAAAGGCCTTGGAGGGAAAAAACGTATCTCCTTGTTTGTTTCTTAGAAATAGGAAGAGATTTTTCTACCAATAACCCCTTTAGCAATGAAGAACTAGTAAGATGTAATACAACAAAGCTGAAATGCCAAGCAAACAGCACATAAGAATAAAACCCAAAAAAGGCAATGCTTGTAACAGAAATTTACTTGGATATTCATAAGTTTTTAAATTGATAGTTTTATTAGAAATACATCCTCTAATGGCTTATTTTTACAACTGAGCATAGATTTTTCAGTTCACCAAAGCAGTACTGCACAGATGAATTAACAACAGGCACATTCTAATTACAGCACATATGCTATTTTATTGTTTCTTGAGGTTTCTAGGTTGTAAAAGTCAATTTACAAAGATTATCAAATGGCTTATCACTCCTTAAAACATGACTAGCTTCAGGCTGGGGATAACTGTGAATTTTAAATAAGGTGTCTGTTTAGGAGAAAAGGAAAAGGACCTGTTTAGGGTGGTGATAAAATAACCCAGGGAACAATAAAATAATTCATGTACAAATGAGGCTTTCAACAGTCAAAAAGCCACTTGTAGTGAAAAATAACAAATTTACAACTTAGAAATGTTGTGTTCATAGTCATAAAGTGTATATTTTTAGGTGAAAATTATAATGTGATAAAGTATTGAATGGCATTGACAGGAACAAGAATGCTCGGGTTGCAATACAGTTGTTAGAGTTGTTGTTTGGGCTAACAGGATGGACAGAAGAGACGTGGTTGACATGCTAACAGCCCCAGTTTTGACTTTTCTTGGGGGAAATTAGTTTTTTTCTGTGAGAAATCTGATCCAGGACTGGCTGAAGCAGCCCATACACATAAGATCATCTTCCTATCCAAGTAAAACTATAATTTCATCTTTACATGGACCTTCTTTGAATGTCTCAATATGATGTAATATAATAAATTCAGTTGGGGAGGGACAAATATGTAAATTTGCAGAATAATAAAATACACAAAAAATACTTATGCCTCATTGCTAATTACACATCATTCATGCTATAAATTCAAAAAGTAAAAGTACATTTTTCCACTAGGCTCATCAACACCTTGCTTCACTTTCACAGATTGCCTTTGGCAACCCATTGAGATGTTTGCAACTAGAGCACAGACTAATTACAAGGATGGATGCTAAATAAATAAAAGAGCCAGGTGAAGCCACTGCTGAGGAATGTTTCTGTTTGGTCCTGATGCAGGGGCGGACTGACAACTCATGGATCCCCCGGGCAATAGGGGATCATGGGGCCCCTGTGTCCTTGCCCAGGTTCAAAAAAGCCTATGAAAAAGGTACCAGGTGCATCTCATGGGTCCCTCTACTGACCCCAAGCCCTCGGGCAGTGCCCGAGTTTCCAAATGGTCAGTCCGCCCCTGTCCTGATGATGAATCCATAGTAGTACCGATCAGTAGTGCTAGTATTTTTGGCCTACTTAACACTGTTACTAGAAGTTGGAGTAGCCTCAAAGTTCCTTATTACATTTTGTCAGTTTTTTAGTTTTCAGTATGGTTTTTCATCCGAGTGTTCAAACGTTTTCACCTTTGAACATCTTTTGAGAGTTTTGGTAATTTTTGGTTAGTCAAGGGCATTTCTTGGAAGTTATACCCAAAAATCCTGCCTGACTCTGGTCTTGGGCACTGCTTGAAATTATACCCAACAATCCTGCTTGACTCTAGTCTTGTGCGCTTCTTGGAAATTATACCCAACAATCCTGCCTGACTCTGGTCTTGGGCACTGCTTGAAATTATACCCAGCAATCCTGCTTGACTCTAGTCTTGTGCGCTTCTTGGAAATTATACCCAACAATCCTGCCTGACTCTTTTTTTGGGCACTTCTTGAAATTATACCCAACAATCCTATCTAAATCTAGTCTTAGCCATTTCTTGGAAAATATACTCAACAATCCTGCCTGACTCCAGTCTTGGGCCTGTTTTGGAGATTTTACCCAACAATCCTGTCTAACTCAAGTCTTGGGCATAGCTTTGAAATTATACCCAGCAATGCTGCCTGACTCTATCACATCAATAACTGGACTAATAAAATGAAAGACTTCACTAAGCCATTCATCAAATAAAAAGAAACTCTCAAAATAATTTACTACAATGGTAAATATCCCAAGACATTTTGTTAGTTAACAAAGTGCAGCGTTGAGTGCAATACATTTTCTACATTATTTGTAGATTATGCAGAGCTAGATATAAATATTTAAAAGCAATCACTCCTTCGCTACTTTAGTAGAAAATGAATATGATTAATGCAATATTTAAAATAAAACAGAAAATGATAAAAGTATTGATTGCTATTATATATAACAGTGTAATATTATAAATAATATTTATTATTTGTATTTTTTTAATAGCATATTACAGTAAGGCATACTAAATGGCAGATGCAAGAAAACGCAGCTTAGATAAGAATAGCCTTAAGTAAAGGTATCTGGGCTATTGACTGTAAGGTGACTCAGGTATACAGTGCTGGTCCTTTCTTGCTGAATGACTATAAAAAGAACCATACACTGAAAAGAAGCCATCTGTTCTAAGAGACAATACAGAGGAGCCAGCTGCCCAGAAAGATGAGTTCATTTCCTTCCTTCCCT